GGTCGAGTTCTGGCTGACATTGGGCTTCTTTCGCTTGGCGAGGTCATCGTAAAGAACCCAGCAGATTTCGTCGGGAACGTCATAGGAGGCTCAGAAGCCAACACCAAAGCCATCCTGGCTTCTACTGTCGGTAAGGTTCTCATCATCGATGAGGCTTACATGCTTGCTAAAGCTAGCGGTCCCAACGGCGGTGACCCTTTCAAAGCTGCAGTCATTGACACCATCGTTGCCGAAGTCCAAAGCACGGCAGGCGAAGATCGATGCGTTTTGCTGCTGGGTTACAAGGACCAGATGGAAGACATGTTTCGAGATGTCAATCCCGGTCTTGCGAGGCGGTTCCCACTGGAATCCGCGTTCGTGTTTGAGGACTTCAATGATGCTGAGATTCGTCAGATCTTTGACTTCAAGCTCAAGGGGATTGGATTTGATGCGAAAGACCAAGCCAAGAAGGTAAGGTTGCATATCAAATTTGATGTGTTCTCACTAACACGTTTCAATCTAGGTCGCCATGGAGGTCATTCAACGCGCGCGCAACCGTCCAAACTTCGGCAACGCAGGCGAGGTCGATATCCTCCTGGATCGCGCGAAGGCGTTACATCAGAAGCACATCTCCTCGGGCAAAGTCAAGCAATTTGGCACTTTCGAAGCTGTCGACTTTGATCCTGATTTCGACCGCGGCACTCGTGCAGCCACCGAAGTTTCGGCTCTGTTCCAAGATGTCGTAGGGTGCGAGGATCTGATCAAGCAGTTCCAGGGTTACCAAACCACGGCTGCCAACATGAAAGCTCTTGGAATGGATCCTCGAGAGCAGATACCTTTCAACTTCCTATTCAAGGGGCCGCCAGGTACCGGCAAGACTACCACGGCTGCAAAGATGGGCAAGATATTCTACGACATGGGCTTCCTCAGTCAGGCGAAAGTGGAAGAATGTTCCGCTACCGACCTGATCGGCCAGTACATTGGTCATACTGGGCCGAAGGTTCAGAAACTCATGGAGAAAGCCCTGGGGAAAGTTCTTTTCATCGATGAAGCCTATCGTCTTGCGGAAGGCCATTTCGCGACCGAAGCAATGGATGAGATAGTCGACTGCCTCACCAAACCCAAGTATGCGCAGAAGCTCGTCGTCATTCTGGCTGGCTACGACAAGGATATTGACCGACTAATGAGCATGAACCCCGGACTCACCAGTCGCTTTCCCGAAACAGTCATGTTCAAGCACATCGACCCAGAAACTTGTCTGAAGCTGCTTGTCAAAGTTCTCTCGGATCTGCAGAAGAAGAAGAAAGCGCCGCTCGACCTTTCCGTTATCGATCCGCCATCATCGCAACTACGCCAGCAGCTGCTGGACCTTTTTGGCAGGCTATCAGTCCTGGAGTCCTGGGGTAACGCTCGCGATGTGAAGTCGCTTGCCAAGAGCATGTTTCAAGCACTCATCTCTACGGCCGTGCCTCCCATCACTAGCCTCGTACTCACTGAACCTATTATCATCCGTACTATGGAAGACATGATAGACGAACGTTCACGGCGGCATGCCGCAGCAGGCACGAGCCGATCAGGGAAGCGAATGCCCAACCGCCCCATGCCCCCACCACAGACTCAGAACCCGACGCCGCCTAGTGCGCAAGGCACAAACACGTCGACGAACACCGCAGCCCCACCACCAACAGCCGGCACCAATACGGACAAACCGGAAGATGAGAAGAAGCCAACGGAAAAGAAGCCTGACCCCGCGACAGAGCCCGAAGACCCGTTCGCCTCCATCTTCAAAGTCAAGCGCGATGCCGGTGTTTCCGACGAAGTATGGGAGCAACTCGACCGCGACAAGCACGCTATGGTGGCCAAAGAAAACGAATACCGCCAGCTTCAAGAAGAGAAGCGACAGTACGAAGAGCAGATCAAGGAGTTCATCCGTGCTGAGAAGGCTGCTGCCGACGAGGAGGAGCGGCGTGTCCGAGAGCAAGCGCGTATTGCAGCGGAACTGGAGAGGCGACGCCGCGATGAGGAACTGGCAGCCGTTGAGAAGGCGCGACAAAAAGAGATGGAGAGGCAGAAGAAGCTGAAGGTAATGGGACCATGTCCGATGGGGTACATGTGGATCAAGCAACATAGCGGGTATAGATGTGCGGGTGGGAGTCATACGCTGTCTGACGCCCAGATTGATGCGTATTGTCGCTAAGAGAGGATGGATGGGTTATAGATGGCAGAGGAGTAAAGCTTTTCGCACAGTTCATTTCTTTCTTTGCCAACAGAAAGTAATACAAGAAATATCATTCCTCATAAATTATCCCTCCGACCATTCACAACAATATTCCCCCAGATATCCATTCTCCTCAACGGAACACTCGCGACATTACACTCCTTCGCCAAAGCCGCAGCCGAACTCACACCCTGGCCACGCTTGTCCTCAAACTTGTCCGTTCGTGGGCTATCTGGCCACTGGAAAGTCACCATGATATCGCGACTAGCCGCAGCCATTTTACTCGCTTCCATGAGTCCATCCGCCCTGTCTCCACCCGCCTCTCTGCCAAATCCAAATCGCTGCGGAGACAAGGGCGTGTCATCTTGCGGTTTGATACTCTGTCCGTAGAATACCAGCGGCAAGATACTATCTTTCCAGATAGGCACGCTATGCCTCCGTTTCCAATTCGTAATATTAACCCAAACGGAAAGAATGCATGTAGCGACGGTAAGACAAATAGGAACCAAAAGCCATTTCAACCTCATTTCCACACACGCTTTCGTCTCCCACGCGAGCCCATACACCACATCCAGCGGCGGGTCGTGCGCGCCGTAGCTGAAATCCCGTGCCGTAGCGCTACCATACTGGAAACGGAAACGATTAGTCATGGCATTCGCCACGGCATCGAATAATTTCGTAACATTAGCATGCGTCGAGCTGCCCTCCGTTTCCACCAGCGGCCGCAGTACAGCATTAACGCCTATATGCGCCAAGTTGGACTGGCTTTCCAACTGGCAAAACTCGCTATTCTTGCAGTTCTTGAAGCAATCAAAAGTTTTATACGACTGGCAATACCCATCGAAAATATCGTCATTCATAACCATCGCGACCGCTTTGACGAATCCGGCGGGTTGCCGGTAAATACACTGTTCCGGCCACGTCATATTCTCAAACGCATATTTCTCGTGCGAAAAGTCGAAGAGCTGTAATTCCGCTGTTGCGGTGCCGTCGGGGATGAAATCGCCGGCGTATAGCGTCCAGGGGCCTACGCGGCACGGCTCTCGGCGTGTTGTGTATTCGTATTCCACATTTGAGAGGCTGTTTCTGTAAGTGGGCAGGTCGAGTTCTTCGTGGTGGGCGCCGGAGATTTGGATGCGCATGGCTGAGGAGGGGACTTCCCATTCGTGGAGCTCGGAGTCTTTGATGAAGCTTTTGTAGGTGCGTGTGCAGGGGTATAGGCTGCATACTGATGCGGTGATGGGGGTACTGCCGATGTTGAGGAGGGTTGCGTTGACGTAGGCCCATCTGGATGCTTCTCTGACGGTGTCGGTCAGGAGACTGCCCATCCAGGTGAGGTCGGGAGTTGGCTTTATGGTTGAGACTTCGAAATGGCCTGCTCCTACTGATAGGTTCAAGCCGCTGGGCAGAGAGTGGACGGTGTTGTTACTCCACTCTGTACTCTCGATCTTGCTCGTCACTAGAGACGCCACGTTTGTGCATACGTTGCACATTCCTACGGTCGAATGCATGCTCTGATTAGAGTCGAAGAAGGCCTTTTCCAGCTCTGGTCTGGGACCCAGATTACTGAAGGTACAGTTTCCCGTTGCGCAGCTTGTGCGAATCTTGTTCTCAATGCCGTAGGGCGATACGACACTGGACAGGATTGCAGCAACAAGGTCAGTTGTGGGGCCTCCGTCTGAACCACCTGTAAAGGGAATGTAGCCACCACTTCCAGGTACCGTGTGCGCAAAGGGAAGTGATGCATTGAGCGTAGCGCTCGGAAAAGAGCACGGCGCCGCACCATTAGCCTGCTGAGCGAAAGGCCCAACCAAGAACGACAGTAGCAACACGACCGCCGCAGCCAGTGTGACAAAGTCCTTGAGAAAAACAGTCGGAATGAGAAGCAACGCTCCATAAGCCCCGCGGCTACCGTAGTCGAATCGCTGGATATCTGACAACGGCCGGGCACTTGTGACGTTGAACCAGTCCCATTTCCTTTGCGATATGATCTGCGCGACGGTGAGGACTAGTAGAGCGCGAAGAACTGTTGATAAAAGCGCAATAAGGGCGTTGAGATTGAGGTCGCCGCCCCAGTCCGGTACGGGTTTGCCGTCGTATACTGCTAGGATGCCTGCGATGGAGGCTACCAAGCCAATTGCGCAGGCTATAGTGAGGGTTTCTCCGGCCCAGGTACGGAAGACGTAGCAGGACTCCATTTTACTTCGGTTCGCAAAGGTATCGGACAAATGCGAAAACGCAAGCAGATGTGGTGCTAATGGAAAGCGCGACTTCGACGTTAAAGATTCGTCTTTCTGCAAGGAGTCACGCGACCTTTCGAGCAGCCAAACCATGCACTCGTACCTGCTTTCCTTTGTTCTCCACGGTCTGGATAAGCGGCCTTAAGGACTCGGTTAAGGCATCAGTCGATCTACTAAGGTTGGTATCCTGAAACGTGACAAAGAACTCACGTCATAGCCCTGCATGCATCCGTTCCTGTGGGAAGCAAGGCAATTCGCTATTTCCACCATACTATACGCAAAGGTGAATAACGAACTGAAGATATCGCATTCATGGAGATGTGTAGTCATTCCGCTCTTCGGACTAGAGGCAGATTCAGTGTCGAATTCGTAACACCAAGCAGCACCGCGGAGCATTCGACGTGTTTCTCACTGTGATATCTACAAAGCGTTATTCATCGTATGCTTCCAGGTACGCGATAGTCAACAGCTCCAGTTTGACATGAACCATTGTCTTTCCTTCACAAACCCATATGATACCGCGTCGCCACCATCTCCAACCAACGTAATCATACACCGCTCACTCACTCCGGCCGCGCAAACTTCTTTAACCCCGGCGGTGCAAGCCTCAATTCCCAATCCCCATACAACGACCTCCTCATGTCATCCCAGATATGCACAATATGCGCGCGTGTGATATTATCATCTGCCTTCTCGAACATCTTTTGAATCCAATCCATAGTGGTAGCTCTACTGTACCCCAGTACGCCCAACTCCTTCATGCTAAGCTTGCCATATTCGAATGCGATGGGGGCATTCATCTCGGTAGTACAGGCGTTGAGAAGATTGCCGTAGCCATCCATCCAGAGATCGGGGAAAGACCATAATTCCTCAAGTATGGCTTCAACGGTTGATGGACCGGGGCATTCGGAAAGTTCTTCGTCGTGAACGAGGATAACGTCGGAGAGGAGGAGGAAGACCTGCCGCTGGAGTTTGGCGGTTGAGATGTTGGTGACTTGTTGTGGTGCGCCGGTGCTCGTAGGGGGGATAAGTGTTAGGCGCATCCTGGATTCGGAGTGTAGTTGATCGGTACGGAGTACAGTCATCAAACCTTTGATGTCGACTCGGATAGCAGATAGTACGGTTACTTTTGGAGGTTGAATTTCGACTAGAATGGTTTGTGGGTTGTATGTTCGCCAGCATTTTCTCATTATCTTGAGGACGTACGGAATATGATCAAAGCAAGAGAAATCGTCTCCTAGCTTGTCGAAGTCCTCAAGATCTGTAATAATCTTATGACTCGTCACCTTTATGGTGATCTGATTTAGGCGTGCTAACTCTTCTCCTATCGAATGCGGGTGGAGTACGCCTGCGTGATGGAGATTGAAGTCGAGACCGTGTACGGTGTGTTTGGTCAAGTCAATCGTAATTGCGTTTGTTTGGCGCAATACCAACTCTGCTATCCGTTCTCGCGTCCCATCTAGTAGGTTATGAAATGGGTTTTAATGCTTCTTCTTTGGCTTCCATCGAAGCTTTTTGCCTTGTTCAAGTACGACAAACGACCGCGAGTCTCTTCCTTCTCCTCCTTCCTTGAAACGGAAGCCCATAGAGCCTATTGGTGGGAATCGAGTAAATGAATGTATGCTAACATAATCCATGAGACGGTTAGACTTGCGATACTTGCGGATGTCGAGAACGTCGTCCCTCGCCAAGGCCGTAAACAAGTTATTAAGGAAGGTTGCGATGTCAATGGGCGTCAGCTTTGACCCATCATCCATCTTGCCGTTGAGCTTATGACAGACTGGTAACCTGCCAGTGCTTTCGAATGAGAGTACGTTGAAGAAGTCCGCATTCTTCCAGACAAGCCGTACCAGAGGCAGGAGCTCGATCCTCTCATTGCCCCAACATCGGCCCCAACCACACATCGTGTCTGTATCGATTATGACATCCTTGAGGTAGCAGAACTGCGATCCAATTGTGTTTAGCCATTGAGCTGCGTAGTTGACCTGGAAGTAGTCCTCATCTTCGTGCAGAGTGTCCAGAGAGTCATCGTCCGCATGGTGAAGTTGAAGCACTCTAGAGAATACAAAGGTGTTGCCGCCGTATAGGATCCCGGAGGCTTCGTCATGTATCTGGCGGCAAGACGATAGCAAAGCGAGGCCTTCGTGGAAATCATGTCGGAAGACGTCATCGGTTCCAACTTCAGCCTCGTAGCTACTGTAGTACACTTGTAAGCGTCGGTCATCGGCTTTCTGGGGGTCGGGCCAGCCGTTATACACTTTCAGTGACGGTCCTGCCTCGTGAAATGAATGCGGATTGTGGAGTAGGACTGGATCGTCGCTCTTGAACAGCCATTCGTAGATGCAATTACGAAGTTCAGGGGGTAGCGTAGTCAGCAAGGACACCGCATTTGGATCAGCCGCAGACGATATGCGGTTTGTAGGAGTCTGCATGATTTGGGTATCGATCGATTGGCTGCAGTACTGCCAGTGTAGTCGGTAAGGTAGCGTGGTGCTTGACAGTGGGTAGAATACGACCAAGATATATTCTCTACAGGCAGGCGCGCCAGGCCACCACTCTAAACACAGAAAGAGCGCACGGACCGATGATGAGGGTGACGCCATTCAAAAGAGACCGTGTCGAGGACTGAGTAGTACCGTGTACGACAGCAGGAACAGGTCCTCGATATTCGAGGCCTTCAGCTTCTCGTAGCAAGCCCATACAACCACGCTAACCAGTCATCCCACAAGCAAACATCCAAACAAGCCGCATCAATACACACATATGTATTCAATATCCTTCATTACGGTGGAGTGTTGATGCAGAGCAGGGCGACAAAACGCGGTCAGGTAACTCTATGTTTTGTTCTTAATGCAGGTATAATTCCTGAAAACCTTATACTCGCTGTGTGCAGCTACTAGAATTGATAAAACTCTCTCTGTGACGTTTGCCGTAGGCTTTGTGCTGCAACGACGACGACGTGCTTGTAGAGCGATTTATTATCCTTCAGATCCTTCATATCCTCCATACTCAACACACACCCTAATCATAAAACCCCAAAATCTTATTCGCCCGATCCAGAATAACCCTCTCCCCCGGCCCCAACCCTTGCGCATCACTATCCCACTCTTGCAACCCCATAGCCCTTCTCCCCTCATCCCCAACCAACACCTCCATATCCTGCGCCTGAACCCTTCCAACATGCTCGCTCTCACCCACACCGCCACCGAAATCCGGGCTCGGAGTACCAGCAAGAAACGTCTCGCGCTGACGAACAAGGTAATTGGCGTTGTCTTCCGTCATGGGACAAGCAGGAATATAAAGTACGGAGGAGTCAGAGGATCCGGCGTGGGTTTTATCGACGCTGTGAATGGTATCGCAGTGCCAGGCTACGTAGTCACCCGGCCTAACCTTCGGCATATGAATCATCGACTCTTGTAAATTGAGATGCGGGTGTAGCAAATATGACAGTTCCTGGCCGCGACCCGGTGTCGCGCCGTGGACCCATGCGTTCTGCGTCTTATCCATTTCCCAATTGTCCGAGGCGAGGAAATCGGCGGTGTTTATGGTGGATGAGGAGGAGGGTGTTTGCGCGCCGGGCTCGACGCCGCGTTTAGGGGAGAAAAAGGGGCGGAGGAGGTAGTATGCTGTTGCTTTCGCCAACAATGGGTTGACGAGGAGTGTGCCTTCAAACGGACCCGTTGTAGACAGGGACAACCAGCCTTGGAACATGCGGAACGCGCTGCATGCTCCTACGCCTTGGTGCAAGTCCGAAATAACAGGGAGACGACAACTAGCTTCCCAGGGGTCGAATTCTTCCCATCGCCCTTTCCACACAGAGTCGTAGACTTTGCCTAGCCCGTAGCCTTCTTCGTCCCAGCGTTCTACGCTGCCGCCGTCGACGTGTGGGCCGAGGGCGAACTTGGCGTCGCCGGGGAGGCGCATGCGCAGGCGGTCGGCGTAGCTTATGGGGTTTTTTGTGGAGAGCGGGATGTGTGGGTTCAGGCTGTGCCAGTAGGACATGAGGAAGGATTGCGTCTTGAGGAGGTTCGGGTTGCCGCGGGCGAGGAGCTGGGTGCGCGACCAGTAGAGTTCGAAGACTTGGGGGTTGTCGGCGGGGAAGGCTGCAGGATGGTTAGTTATGTGTATATTTCCGGGATGCGCCCAGGCGTACCTTTTGTCTGAGGATTCTGGCGAATGTACTCTCTCAGGTCTTCCTTCCATTGCAGCGCTTCCTGCTCTGGTACCACATTCCGGATGACGGCGACACCTCTCTTCCGCAGCTCACTGCTGAAAGACTCGGGCGCATTGTCGATATCTTTGAAATCAATCTCTGGGATAACCTGACTGCCACGCTCAACAATCAGCGGAATCTCCTCGCGCAGATCTCGAAGGAGGCGTTCCCAAGATTCTCGCACTTCGGCTTCGTGCCCCCGGATCAGACGGCTTTTGAGGTCCGCATATTCTGGCGTCAGAGGCGTAAACTCCTGTCCCGAGAGCGATGCGAAAGCGTCGGATATATCGCCTGCGCGCTTCTGGGCCTGTGTCGCGGCGGTGCGCAATTGTGTGACGGCGCGCCTCGTCGGAGATCGGATGGTTCGGAGCGCGGAGAGCATCGCGGAGGTTCGTGTGGGAATTATTCGACTGTTCGATACTGTATCATGGCTCTCTCATCCCCAGAAGCCACACATTATATGCTGTTGCTTGCGCCGAGGTTGCACCAGCCTTCAGTGTAGTTCCGACAGTGTAGTGAAGCTCAAGCTGTCGAGAGAAGATACTGTACATTCGGAAGCTCTTCTCGACTGGGTATAGCGCCGTCTTTGAGCTCTGCCAATCCACCATCCTCGTCACTACCACTACATGTAGAGCATCGTTCCCGACGACTCCATCTTAGACCGTCATCAGCTCTTAGATTCGCGAATGAGGCGATGAGGAACATGTTCTTCGGCGCGACTTGGTCGACGGACGCCATGGAGTGGTCGCGCGGGAAACGGCCGCCAAACCCAATACCCCGCCATCCCACTCCTCCAAGCATCACCTTGCGCCCAAGATGACTTCCGCGCTGCCGCCTAGCAGGTTAATAGGCAGGCTGAATCAACGGGCCGCAGTCCCACTGACCGCCTTCATCATCGAGGACCCTCATGGGCAGAATCGACGTAAAAGTGTAGCTTCGTCATGTGGGATGAAGCTATAACACTCAAGTGATCGTGACTATGAGCGGGGTCGCTGGACCCAGGAGCCATTGAGAAGGCGGAGAATGCGACGTCCAGCCCGCTTGAGCTCGACGGAGCCGTACCAAGTTCCTCATATGTCTTACTGCGCGTCGATTAAGGTCTTGTCGACGCGTGAGGACGGTTACGGCGGGACGTTCTCCGCAGCCTTTTGCTGTGTCCACGTATATAGAAGTATACCTGTCCCGTTGCTGCGGGTTGCTTTCTGCTTCTCTAGATTGTCAGCGTAAGCACCTTCTGACAATAAGACTGCTTGAACCGCAATCAAAACCATCATGTCGCAGTCGTATCTGCCGAAGGATTTCCTGTGGGGATTCGCAACAGCCAGGTTCGTCTGATTCTCAGGACCGATTTCTCCACTCCCCAATTGTACCCCGCCAACGGAGATATACGGTTTGGGGGGCGCCACATTGTTGTCACATACTGAGTTTCTGAACCCGCAGTTACCAAATCGAAGGCGCACCGCATGAAGATGGCCGCGCCGATTCCATTTGGGACACGTTCTGCCGCATCCCGGGCAAGATTGCTGGCGGAGAATCCGGAGATGTTGCATGCGATTCCTACCACCGCACTGACGAGGACATTGCCCTCTTGAAAGATATCGGCGCAAAATCATACCGCTTTTCGCTCTCGTGGTCCCGCATCATACCGCTCGGCGGACGCAACGACCCCGTAAACGAAAAAGGTCTGCAGTACTACATCAACTTGGTCGACGATCTCCGTGCCGCAGGCATCGAGCCGATGATAACGCTGTTTCATTGGGATCTCCCAGACAACCTGCACAAGCGATATGGGGGCATGCTGAACAAGGACGAGTTCGTGAAGGATTACGAGAACTACGCCAGGGTGTGTTTCAAGGCTTTCGGTTCGAAGGTAAAATATTGGATCACCTTCAACGAGCCTTGGTGCAGCTCTATTCTCGGCTATGGCACCGGCCTCTTTGCTCCCGGTCGTTGCAGTGACCGGACCAAGAGCGCTGAAGGTGACAGCTCGCGGGAGCCGTGGATCGTCGGCCACTCGCTCCTCATTGCCCATGGTGCGGCGGTCAAGGCCTACCGTGATGACTTCAAGGCCAAGGATGGAGGCCAAATTGGGATTACGCTCAATGGTAAGTGACCAGCACGTGGCTCGCGTAGAAGGTGTGGGTACCACGCATATCGAAGGCCGTGCCAGGGTAGTAAAAATCGGCCTCACGTCTGAGCATGAATATGACAAGCTGATATGCCGTTTCTAGGCGACTGGACAGAACCGTGGGATCTAGAAGACCCGAAGGATCGCGAGGCCTGCGACCGCAAGATCGAATTTGCCATTTGCTGGTTCGGAGACCCAGTGTACTTTGGCAAGTACCCAGACTCGATGCGCAAGCAACTGGGCGATCGCCTTCCCGACTTCACACCGGAAGAAGCGGCTCTCGTCAAGGGAAGCAATGACTTCTATGGCATGAACCACTACTGCGCCAATTATATTAGACACAAGGACACTGAGCCGGAGCCTGAAGATCATGTTGGCAATATGGACATTCTTTACCAGAACAAGAAGGGCGAATGGATTGGCCCAGAGACTCAATCCGTCTGGCTGAGGCCAATGCCTTTGGGTTTCAGAAAGCTAATCAAGTGGCTCAGTGATAGGTACGGCGGCCCGACCTTCTATGTGACGGAGAACGGAACCAGTCTCAAGGGGGAGAACGATCTCCCTCTTGAGAAGTTGCTCGACGACGAGTTCCGTTGCGAGTACTTCAGGGGATACATTGGAGCCTTGGCCGATGCTCATACCTTGGACGGTGTCGATGTCAGGGGCTACTCAGCTTGGAGTCTCATGGAGTGAGTAATCCCGTTTCTTGACGTCTACCCTGACCCCCACTTGTCATCAAGAAGTTTCTTTTTCTTTCCCAGTGAGTGGTGGAGTCTTTATTTGTCCGCATGGCGGTTGCGCGTTCGCTCCCGGGTAGATCATTCTTTCTCTCCTAGCCTCAAACACTGCGGGCTTGGGGTCCCGCGGACGCCGTGTAAAGCGTCATGGACACTGACTTGGTGTACCTGCAGCAACTTTGAGTGGGCCGAAGGCTACACGACACGTTTCGGCGTTACCTACGTCGACTACAAGGGTGGCCAGAAGCGATACCCTAAGAAGAGCGCGCGAGAAATCTCGAAAATCTTTGACAAGTACATCAAAAAGGAGTAAGAAACCGAGAATCCTGGCGACCCGCGGATGTGGCGTACGAT